GGTCTAGAGGCTAAGTTGTCAGTTGGGACTACTGCATCCTATACCTGAATTCCTGGGTTTGAGTACTGGCTCTGCTCCTGATTCCAGCTTCTTGTTAATATGCATACTCTGGGAAGCAGCAGGTGATGGCTCAAGCAGTTGTGTGCCTGCTAATCCCATGGAGACATGGATTGGTTTCCCAGCTCCTGGCTTTTCCCTGGCCTACCCTCAGCCATTGGGGACATTTGGAGGGTAAACCAGTGCATGGCAGCTCTTTGTCTGCCTCTGTCTCTCTTCCTGTCTCTTTGACTCTTTTTTTAAATTTAAAATTTTTTTTTTGACAGGCAGAGTGGACAGTGAGAGAGAGAGACAGAGAGAAAGGTCTTCCTTTGCCATTGGTTCACCCTCCAATGGCCACCGCGGCCGGTGAGCTGCAGCCGGCGCACCGCGCTGATCCGATGGCAGGAGCCAGGAGCCAGGTGCTTCTCCTGGTTTCCCATGGGGTGCAGGGCCCAAGCACTTGGGCCATCCTCCACTGCACTCCCTGGCCACAGCAGAGAGCTGGCCTGGAAGAGGAGCAACCAGGAAAGAATCTGGCGCCCTGACCGGGACTAGAACCTGGTGTGCCGGCGCCACAAGGCAGAGGATTAGCCTAGTGAGCTGCTGCACTGGCCCCTTTTTGACTCTTAAACAAAATAAAAATAAAAAACTAAAAAAGAATATGGTAGGGAATATCAGAGTGAATTAAAAACAAAGATCCAAATTTGAGCACAGTTCATTGGTTAATGGAAAGTAAATGAAAGGCTGCATATGTGTCATGCAAGCCATAATAATATGAGCAGAAAGACTGTGTTACTATCAGATAAAAATGGACTTAGCCATAAGTGAATTAGTCGAGATAAGGAGGGACACATCATCATGGTAAAATGTCAAAGCTGTGTGTATACAAACACATTTACAAATAAATAAAATGCATGTATAGAAACATCGCTTAGTACTATATCAATAAGCACAATTTTTATCAGTTAAAAATAAAAATTTAAAAAGTTATTAAAAGGTGGGGCCAGCACCGAGGCAGTGAGCTACACTGCTGCCTGCCATGCTGGCATCCAATGTGAGCACTGGTTTGAGCTGCTCCACTTCCTTCCCAGCTCCCTGCTACTGTGCATGGGTAAGCAACAGAAGATGGCACAGGTATTTAGGCCCCTGCTACCCACGTGGGAGATCCGGATGGAACTGTGTCATCTGCAAACAGGGATAACTTGACTTTCCATTTGTGTGCCTTTGATTTCTTTCTCTTGCCTAATAGTTTTGGCCAAAACTCGTAGAACCATATTGAATGAGGATGATGGGGGTCAACATCCTTGTCTGGTTCCAGACCTTAGGGTAAATGCTTTAGGTCTTTCCCCATTTAATATGATGTTGGCCATGGGTTCATCACATACAGCCTCTATTATGTTGAGGTGTGTTCCTTTTACACCTTATTTGTGCACAATTTTCTTTTTTTAAAGCCATGAATGGATGTTGTATTTTATTGCATGCTTTCTCTGCACCAATTGAGAATGATAGTATGATTTTATCCTTCATTCTGTTGATGTGATTTATCATATTTATTGATTTGCATATGTTGACCCAGTCCTGTAATTCTTGGGATGAATTCCACTTGGTCAGGCTGAGTGAATTATTTTTTATTTATTTATTTTTAGGTGTGCTGTTTGGTTTGATTTGTTACTATTTTGTTGAAGATTTTTGCAGCCAAATCTAAGATCTGAAACTATGAAACTATGAGAGGAAAACATAGGAGAAACTCTCCAAGACATTGGATTAGGGACAGATTTTTTGGATAAGACTCCAAAAGCAAGGACGATAAAAACAAAAATTGACAAATGGGATTATATTGAACTAAGAAACTTCTCTGCAGCAAAGGAAACAATCAACAGATTGAAGAGACAATGGACAGAATGAGAGAAAATATTTGTAAACTGTGCATCCAGAATACATAAGGAGCTCAAGAAATTCAACAACAAAGCAAACAATCCAATGCAGAAATGGGAAAAGGGTCTGAATGGACATTTTTCAAAAGAAGAAAAACAAGTGGCCAATAAACACACGAAAAAAAAATGCTCAGTATGATTATCTATCAGGGCATGCAAATAAAAACCACAATGAGGCTGGTGCCGTGGCTCACTAGGCTAATCCTCTGCCTTGCGGCGCCGGCACACCAGGTTCTAGTTCTGGTCGGGGCGCCGGATTCTGTCCCGGTTGCCCCTCTTCCAGGCCAGCCCTCTGCTGTGGCCAGGGAGTGCAGTGGAGGATGGCCCAAGTGCTTGGGCCCTGCATACCACGGGAGACCGGGAGGAAGCACCTGGCTCTTGCCATTGGATCAGCGCGGTGTGCCGGCCGCGGCGGCCATTGGAGGGTGAACCAACAGCAAAAGGAAGACCTTTCTCTCTGTCTCTCTCTCTCACTGTCCACTCTGCCTGTCAAAACAAAACAAAACAAAACAAAACAAAACAAAACACAATGAAGTCTCATTTCAGTCCAGTTAAAATAGCCATTATCAAAAAAGCAGAAAATAACAAATGTTGACAAGGATGTGGAGAAAAGGGAGCCCTAATACTCTGTTCGTAGGAATGCAAATAAATGCAGCTACTATGGAAAACAGTTTGGAGATTCCTCAAAAAGCTGAAGATAGATCTACCAGAGGATTCAGCTGTTCCACTTCTGAGAATATTCCCAAAGGAAATGAAGTAAGCACATGAAAGAGAGGCCTGCATTCCCATTTTTATTATAGCGAATTCAAAATAGCAGAGATACACAATCAACCTTGATGCTCATCAATGGATGAACGGATAAAGGAACTATGGTATATATACACAATGGAATATTATTCAGCATTAAAAAATAATGAAACCCTGACATTTGCATTAAATGGGTGTAACCATAGATTATTATGCTCAATGAAATAAATCAGACACAGAAACACAAATACTACATGTTTTCCTTCATCTGTGGATATTCATTTATATATATATATATAAATATATAGATAACTATATATAAACTTGTGTGGATACTATATTATTTGATATACAGACATTTATAAATATTGTGTTCATGGAGTTACACTCTTTATATAATAATATAGCCTTCTTCTCTCCCTTTATGATCTTTGTTATGAATCTTATTTATATTATATTAATATATTCGCTCCTACTTTCAAGAAAAATAGTATGTATGTATATATATATATGTATATGTTGCATATGTAGCAAAAAACTTTGCATATGAAAAAATGTTAATTCTGTGTACTCACTGAACTCTTCTTTATAGTTTTGACATCTCATTATAGTTTTGATTTACATTTACATTGTTGAACATTTTTTATTTACCTGTTGGGCATTTGTATTTCTTTGAGAAATGTCTGTTTAGATTTATTGTCCATTTTTTAAATTGGATTTTTTTTGCTATGGAGTTGTTTGAGTTCTTTATATATTCTGGATACTAGCCCTTTGTTATATGAATAGCTTGTAGATATTTTCTTATGTGGTTTAGGTTGTTTCTTCAGTTTCCTTTGTTGTGCAAAGCTCTTTGGTTGTATGAAATCTCATTTGATTTTTTAAAAAAAATATTTCCTGTGCTTTTGGGGTCTGATCAAGGAAAATCCTTGCCCATTTAATCAATGTCCTGAAGTGTTTTCCTTAGATTTTCTTCTAATGGCCTCAAAATTTCAGGTCTTGTATGTAGGTCTTTAATGCATTTGGAACTAACTTTTATAAATGGTGAGTGATAGGGGGAATATTTTTAAAAAGTTATTAAGTAAAGCAATACAGAATTAAAGGGAGGAACAGAAAATCCCATGGGAAAGATCGGGTGATTTGAACATTACTCTTTTGGTAGTCAATGCATCAAGTAGATAATATATCACAACAAACTTAGAATATATGAATGAGAACGCTACTTCTATGAAGAACAGAACACATGTGATTATGGTCTGAATGTCTTCCTCAGATTCATATGTTGGACAGAAGTGAGAGATGGGACCTTCAGAAAGTGACACTAATTGATGACATTATAAAGGAGGTGTGAGGAAGCAGCGTTTACCCCTCCACCAGGAGAGGATGCAGCGCCATCCGCAGAGCAGAGAGCGAGCCCTTCCGAGACGCCAGAACTTCTGGGACCCTGATGTTGGACTTCCCAACCTCCAGAAATGTGAGAAATAAAATTCTTTTATTTATATATTGCCCAACCTAAGATATTTCATTAGAGCAGAAAATCTGACTAAAACACATGATTTTCCAAAGCACCCTATATATCAAATTTAAGTTTTTCATGAGGAAAACATTCAGAAAACTGAAAGTATAAGAAACCTTATTGAGGACATCTAACAGAATGTTATAGCTGACATCATACTCAGTAGTGAAAAGCTCAGTAAATTAATCTAAGATCAGCAAAAGCAAAAGTCAAGATTATTGCCATACACTTTCCAACATACCACCAATGATATCTCAAAATGTACCCAGCAGGTTTTGTAGCAATGTCTACTCATCATACTTGTGCAACTAAGACACGATGCCCATTCTCAAACATTCAGTGTACTGTGTCTAGGAGAGACTGAATGAGGTACCCCTGTCCACAACTGGCCACCCTGTTTTCCATATTGGTATCTTCAAAAAGCTGAAGTCCAAGTGGTACAACATCTTCTTTCTGTTCCCATAATTAACTCTTTCTCATCTTTCCAAACTAAGCGCCGTGGTACCTTCTGTCTAAGCCTTCTCCTAAGATATCCCCAGTATCTCAGAGATGTCATTTTGCGTCCCGCACTGTACACAGTGTTCAAACTTCAGAAAGCAGCCCTCACTACGCTGACTGCAATTTTCCATTTGTGTTTGGAGCTTCCTGGGGAGCAAATTTGCTGCAGTACAGGGCCATTTGTGATTTGCATTTTATAGTGGATGATTGACCCACAAGCTTAATAAAACACACAATAGCAAAGGGACTGCTAAACCAGCACCACTCACCTGTCTGTTAAATGGCCAAATACGATGCTCCCCACTACCATTCCGGCCATGAATAGGAATTTAGACACTGAATTCAGTGACTGAGAGTCACAAACCAGGTCCCACTGTAAGAGGAGGAAGCCAGGAGAGCAGAGCTTAGAAATTCACAGTGCAACCAGATCAGAGCCCCTTCATCCGAGCTGCCAGTTTCAGTCTGTCTGCCCTCTATCTTCCCCACTAGCTTCCCTTTTCAGCACTTCGTGACTGTTCTTGTTCCAGTCTTAGCTTAAACTCAATTTCCTCCTGCAAGCCTCTGCTAAACACATGGGTTTTAATAACGTCCCGTTTTACTCCATACCAACTGGTTTTCAACCTTGACCATGCAGTGAGGTCATTAGGGATCTTTAAAAACGTACAGATGCCTGAATTTCATGCCAGGACTTTCTCATCTGACTGTTGTGGGATGCAGGCTGGGCATAGGGTTTTTTTATTTTTAAGTGTTTCTCCTACATAATTTGCAACCAGAAGTTGAGCATTGCTATCTTGCATATTTAAGCAACTATATAAAGTACTTACATAAACTTTGGTCTCTTACATAAACTTCGGTCTCTCCGCCCCCACCAAAAAAACCCCAATACTATGATAACACGGTTCATGCCATTTTTGGATACATCAGTCTCTCACCTATGTAGTCTCCTGACGTCAGGAGAGGAGCGATTCAGAGTTGCTGATGGAATGAACAACTGGCACCTGCACAGCACGCTCCCGACGTGTTATTTCCAACCACCCCGGTCTCACCCCCAGGCCAGAAAACAGGGTCTCCTACCTGCATCACGGTGGTGGAGACGAAGGAGCTGCGGTCGTACACCCAGCCGTCCACACAGGGCTCTGTGTCCGGCTCATTCGTGCTCGGGGAGGTCCCGTTCAGGTAAAGGAGCTGCCACTGGGGACGGGTGAAGCGACGGCACTTCTCTGGCCTCAGGTTCGCGTCCAGCGGGATGAAGACTCTTAGAAGGGCATCTTTGTTGAGGAGTCCAGTGTCATTGTCAGAGGTGGTGTGGTTGTCCAGGAGGGGGACCCAGCAGCGATGGTCAGGGACAGCAGCAGTGAAGTTCTCCAATAGGATGTGAGGATACACTGCCACATTGCAGATCATGAGGAAAATCATCTGCAGGATCTGGAATCTTCCCCAGCTGCCCACTTGATCCAAGAGGTCCTGAAACGCCATCGGGGCTGAGTGATCATTCGCAATCCAGCGGACGTAGCTAGGTAAGTTCAGAGGGAGAGAGAAAATGCTTCCGCTCACCGAGTCACACGCGGGGTGTTGACCTTGACACTTTCCCCTCTGCAGCTGGGCCACGAACTGCGATATCTTCGTAATTTCAGATCAGGTAGGCAGCTCTCTTCCTTAAAGCCACGGAGAGAAATCGTTTTTCTGAGATACTGCCTGCAATTAAGTCTGTTAAAAATCTACTTTGTTAACATCCTGTCCTCAGCAATGCCCCAAGGTCACTGGACATTGATCTGTGCATTCTTTGTAAATAAACTGGAATACAGCCACTGCGCAGCGTGCAGGCCCTTCCAGAAGCCGTCATCTGTGAGATGTGGCTTAAAAAAATTTTTTTTCCTTGTAGGAAGTGATTTGTTTGTTTAGTCCTGACTTTGAAAAGGATAATTAATGAACACAGTCCCGAGTTACATCAGTGCAAATGGAGCATGATGCAATCCTTCCATCTGCTCACACTAACTCACCCTGAAAAAGAGTGGCTCAGAGAGAGGGGCTGGGTGCAGAGTGATGGGGTGTTGATATCCTGGACTCTGGTCTACTGGTTCATTCAAACAGCACTTGTGAGACTTTTTCTTGGCTAATTCTAGAGCCACAGCTGTACAAGGGAAAGGTACATTATTAACCACACTCTGATATTTGGAAAAATATCTATGGCAGGTGCACAGTGTGTTATGAGAGAATTGGAGAGGAAATCTGGGAGAATAGGTCACCTTGATTAGCGCCAAAACTTCTGTCAGAATTTCATTTTGTCAGCATTTTTGATAACTTGTGTATCACATAAGTTACCCCCTGGAAATGTACTAATTGGTGAGTTTTGGTCATTCACAGGGTTGTGCAACCAGCATCGTGATCTCCCCACGGAGCATTTTCGTCACTGCAGAAGAATTCCACATCCATCAGCAGTGATTTCCACTTCCTACCCCACACCTAGTCCTTGGAAACCTCACTTCCACTTTCTGTCTCTGTGGATTTGCCTGCTTTGGGTATTTTATGGAAAGCAAATTGTGAAATTTTGGACTATGAAGTTTTGCATTTAGGTGTATGGCTCATTTTGGTTTATGGTGTAATATACAGATCTAAATTGTTCTTTGAAAAGACTTTTCTTTCTACCAATGAGTTTCCTTGGTCTTTTGTCAAAGATAAACGGTTTTTCTTTTTTTTTTTTTTAAAGATTTATTTATTTATTTGAGAAGCAGAGTTACAGACAGAGAGAGGGAGACACACACACACACACACACACAGAGACAGAGAGAGAGAGAGAGAGAGAGAGAGAGAGATCTTCCATATGTTGGTTCACTCCCCAAATGGCTTCAACAGCCAGGAGCTAGGCTGATTTGAAGCCAGGAGCCAGGAGCTTCTTCCAGGTCTCCCACATGAGCTCAGGAGTCCATGCACTTTGGCCGCCTTTCGCTGCTTTTCCAGGCCATAGCAGGATTGGAAGAGGAGCAGCTGGGACATGAATGTATGTTGCTGGCGCCACAGGCAGAGGTGTAACCTGCTATACCACAGCACTGGCTCCAAGATAAACTTACTCTAAATTCTATTATGCTGTTATGTAACACCACATGTGTAAATGTTAATTCTTGAAACTTAATTCTGTGTCTTTTCTTATGTCTATCCTTACAACAGAACCACAGTCTTGATTACTGTAACTTTGCTGGAAATTTAAGATTGGTTAGTATGAGTCCACCCTATATTATATTCTTTTTCAAGCTTGTTTATGTTTTATCTTTGAATTTCTATATTAATTCTGAATGTAGCTTATAAATTTCTGTAGAAATATCCACAAGGGCTTTGAGAGAGATTGTATTGAACCTTAAGAAAATAATGAATGTTGCTATCTTAACAATATTAAACCTTCTGAAAGAAGATCATGAGATAGTTCTTCAACTAATTAGAGATTGATGATTTTTTCAACAGTGCTTTGTGGCTTTTTTTTTAAAATAAAGATTTATTTATTTATTTGAGAGGCAAAGTTACAGAGAGAGAAAGAGATCTTCCATCTGCTGATTCACTCCCCAAATGGCCACAACAGCTACAGCTGAGTGGGTCTGAAGTCAGGAGCCAGGAACTTCCTCTGGATCTCCCATGTGGGTGCAGGGGCCCAAGCACTTGGGAAATCTTCTACTGCTTTGGCCATTAGCAGGGATCTGGATTGGAAGTGGAGCAGCCGAGACTTGAACTGGCATCCATATGGGATGCCGGCACTGCAGACAGCATTTTCTCCAACTGTGCCAAAGTGCTGGCCCCATGGTCTTCAGCATGAAATTCTGGCATCCCTTTTAGCAAATGTTTCCTAAATTTTTTATTCTTTCTGGTGCTGTTGAAAATGTTTTTGTTTATTCCATGTTTTTTTTCCCACTTGTCTATTACTAGTATATATTAAACAATGAATTTTTGTAAGTTATCTGGAATCCTGAAATGTTGATTAATACATTCATTCGTTTTAATACATTTTAGTGGTTTCTTCAGGATTTTTACACAGAAGATGTTAGGTCTTGCATAACAAATATCACATACTGAGGGGTGATAAACAGCACAAATGTGTTTTCTTTCAGTTTTGGAGGCCAGTGGTCCATGGTCAAGGTTAGTAGGATTGTTTTCTCCTGGGCTTTGATCTTTGCCCTGCGTGTTGTCGTTTTGCTGTGTTTCCATATTGTTGTGTATGTTTTTGCTTTTCCTCTGTGTCCACAGTTTTCCCTCTTTTGAAAAATGTTTGTTGAAGTCCTTTGCCCATTTCTTAACTGGATTGTTTATTTTGTTGTTGTTGCATTTCTTGATATCCTTATATATTCTGGTTATTAATCCTTTATCAGTTGCGTAGTTGCAGGTAATTTCTCCCATTCTGTCAGTTGCCTCTTCACTTTACTGATTGTTTCTTTTGCAGTGCAGAAGCTTCTCAATTTTCTGTAATCCAATTTGTCAATTTTTAACTGCCTGTGCCTCTGGGGTCTTTTCCAAGAACTCTTTGCCTGTGCCAATGTCTTACAGGATTTCTCCAGTGTTCTCATATACAAACAAGGATAGTTTGACTTCCTCCTTTTCAATTTGTATCTTTCATTTCTTTTTTTTTTTTTTTTTGCCTAATGGTGCTGGCTAAAACCTCTGGGACTATGTTGAATAGGAATGGTGAAAGTAGGCAGATTTGTCTGATTTCAGATCTTAGTAAAAATGCTTCCAATTTTTCCCCATGAGGTATGATGCTGGCTGTGGGTTTGTCATAAATTGCCTTGATTGCTTTGAGGAAGGTTTCTTCTATCTCAAATTTGCTTAAGGTTTTTATCATGAAAGGAAGTTGTACTTATCAAATACTTTGTCTGTATCTATTGAGATAATAATTTGCTTTTTATTTTTCAATTTATTGTGATGTATCACATTATTGATTTTTGTATATTGAACCAACTCTGAATACCAAGGATAAATCCCACTTGGTCCAATTGAATAATCTTTCTGATGTATTGTTGAATTCAATTAGCTAGTATTTGTTGAGGATTTTTGCATCTATGTTCATCAGGGATATTGGTCTATAGTTCTCTTTCTTGCATCTTTTTCTGGCTTGGGAATTAAGGTGATGCTGGCTCCATGGAAAGAATTTAGAAGGATTCCTTCCTTTTTGATTGGAATAGCTTGAGAAGGATTGGAATTAGTTTTTCTTTAAAAAGAAAAAGTTGATAAAAGCCATCTGGCCCAGGGCTTGTTTTTCTTGGGAAGGTCTTTATTACTGATTCAGTCTCCTCTTCTTGGTTATTAGTCTGTTTAGATTTTCTATTTTGGTAGATGGAATTTGTCCAGGAATCTGTCCATTTCTTCTGGATTTTCCAATTTGTTGGCATATTCCTGTTTGTTATAATTCCCGATGATTCTTTTTACTTTTCTGGTATCTGTTATTACATCTCCTTTTTAATTTCTGATTTTATTGTTTTGGGTCTTTTCCCTCTGGTTTTTTTTTTTTGTTAGTTTGGTCAGTGGTGTATCAGTTGTGTTTATTTATTTTTTTAAAACCAGCTGTTCATTTCACTGATATTTGGTATTGCTATTTTGGTTTAATTTTTGTGTATTTCTTCTCCATTTTTTAAAAAATATTTATTTATTTATTTGAAAGGCAGAGTCATAGAGAGGCAGTGAGAGAGAAAGAGAGAGAGAAAGTCTTCCATCTGCTCATTTACTCCCCAAATGGCTGCATCAGCCAGAGCTGAGCTGATCCGAAGCCAGGAGCCAGGAGCTTCTTCCAGGTCTCCCATGTGGGTGCAGGGGCCCAAGGACTTGGGCCACCTTCTTCTGCTTTCCCAGGCCATAGCAGATAGCTGGATTGGAAGTGGAGCAGCTGTGACTTGAAGTGGCACCCATACGGGATGCCAGCACTGCAGGTAGTGGCTTTACCCGCTATAACACAGTGCCAGCTCTCTTCTCTAATTTTGATAATTTCTTTCCTCCTATTAATTTTGGGTTTGGTTTGTTGTTGTTTTTCTAGGTTCCTGAGATCATTAATAGCTCACTTATTTTGTATCTTTCAAATTTCTTGATGTAGGCAGTAGTTGCTATAAACTGCCCTCTTAACACTGCTTTTGCTGTATCTCATAAGTTTTGATATTTTGTATTGTCATCTTAATTTGTTTCCATGAATGTTTTGATTTTTTTTAGATTTTATTAATTTATTTGAGAGGTAGAATTACAGACAGTGAGAGAGAGAGAGAGAGAAAGGTCCTCCCTCTGCTGGTTTACTTCCCAAGTGGCCTCAATGGTCAGACCTGCGCTGATCCGAAGCCAGGAGCCAGGAGCCTCCTCTGGGTCTCCCATGTGCGTGCAGGGACCCAAGGACTTGGGTCATCCTCTACCACTCTCTCAGGCCACAGCAGAGAGCTGGATTGCAAGAGGAGCAGCTGGGACCAGAACCGGCACCTGTGTGAGATGCTGGTGCCACAGGTGGAGGATTAACCCACTGTGCCATGGCACCACCCCATGTTTTGACTTCCATTTTGACTTCCTTTTGACCCACTCTTCATTTGGAGCATGTTGTTCAGTCTCCATGTATTTGTATATTTTATGGAGAGTATTAATTTGTTATTTTCCAGCTTCATTCCATTGTGGTCAGAAAAGATAAATGGTATGAATTCAACTTTTTAAAAATTTGTTGAGTTTAGCTTTATGGCCTAGCATATGGTCTACTCTAGAGAATGTTCCATGCACTGATGAAAAGAATGTGTATTCTGCAGATGTAGAATGAAATTATCTTGTTGATATCAGTTAGGTCCATTTGGTTCATAGTGTAGATTAACTCTGTTGTTTCTCTGTTGATTTTCTGTCTAGTTGATCTGTCTATTGATGAAACTGTGGTGTTGAAGTTCACCATTGCTATTGTATTGGAGTCTGTGTCTCCCCTTAGATCTGTTAATATTTGTTTTAA